TAACTGAAATTAAAAATATAACTATTCCGTTAAATTGCTTTGTTGGAATCAGTTGTAAATGTTAAAGATTAAGTTGAACTAAAGAACAGTCTAAAGATTTAAGTTTATTTTTTATTTTATTAATATTTTTTTTATTTTGCATATTTTGACGGGCGTGGCGAAGCCTCGCGCAACCATTGCCAGCTAGTATATGTATATATATGTGTGTGAGCTGCAAAAAGATTTATTTGACGAATTTCTCAGAAATTCCTACTCTTATTGGATGTTTGTTATTTGCCTGGGATACGAAGATATATACAAATGTATATATGTATGTATGTATACATGAGTTGTGAACCTGTAAAATATTTGCGAACGAAATGTTTTGGTGGTCTTTTATTCAATTTAAATATTTATCTGCTGCTGTGCGCGACACAATTGTATTATATACATATGTATGTATATACATAGATAGTATACTATACATACTACAGGTGCATGGGACACCCTGGCGTATACTTGTTGCTTATATGAGAAAATCGGTGAGTTATTGTGTATCACTTATGTACATACATATATTTATGCGCGCTTTTCTATAATTTATAACTGTTAATATTTAGTTAACCGCTTATATTTTACTTACTTGGCTCCCATAGTGGTAAAAAAACAACAAAAAGATATTTCGGGAATATTTCGCAGAATTTTCTCAGACCTCTCTTGTTGATCTGCAGCTTATATTATCACTCAGTTTGGTGACAAATTAAAGCGAAAAGTGAATACACTTATAATATATATTATGCTATATACATACATACATACATATATACTAGATATATGGCTATTTTGAATGTGTGCTTGGGCAGACATGTAGTTGGGATGTAAATATTAACATTTTATATATCAATTTGCGTTGAGATAAGCAAGAACTTCAAAAAAGGTGAGCTGCCTCGCAACCTAACGGTTACTTCATAGCCTCCCGCCATATGAACAAACAAATGCTCGACAAATTATGGGCGCGCTTTTATCAAATTGACTGTCCATCCGGCGGCGAGCGTGTGTACCTATATTATGCCAAGCGATCGTCAGCATTAAGGCAATAAGTAATTGAACGTTGAAACGACAAGATCGGCGAGCGTAAAAATATACATACATAAGTGCACAAATTATCAACAATTTTGCAAAAAAATAAGACAAAAATAAAATTTATAAAAATTAAAATACCAAAAACCTTAAATTATTTGAAAAAATTACTACGGTTATCGATATACTGCAAGTGCGGTGCGTAAATTTCAATAAAAGAGAATCAAAACAAACGTAAAATAATAATGTTGCCACCAGCACAAAGAGCACAAGTGCAATTAATTATCCTGCAATTTATACTACATTGCTTGCATGGTGTCTACAGCGCCTCACAGCCACCGTATCAAGTGTCACTTTATGTGTCGCTGCATCCACGTGCGCCGGCCATACATTATTGTAACGGTGTTATTGTGCAGAGTAGCTTGATATTAACTACCGCCAGCTGTGTCTACTACCAGTCATCGGTGATTGAGGAAAGTGGCGCACCGGTGCGTATACCGTCGGCGAAGATCAGTGTGGTGCCAGGTGTTGCGGGCACCTACAACGTACTGAATACTTTCAATGTGTTAGAGATAAATATTGCACCGGGTTTTAATTACAAGACATTGGCAAATAATTTGGCACTGCTGCGTTTGGATACGACACTGCCGCTTGGTCTACGCGAAGACGTACAATGGATCATAATGGATGATTATGTGTATGAGGAGAAGGCTTTATATATGGCAGGATTTCCGGTGAGTATTCTTGATATTATATGTTATGTAAGATGTGCAGCTAGCTGTAAACTACGACTAAATTTTTCATATCGGACTACCATAGCATATAACTGTCATATAAACTGAATGATCAGAAGCAACTTCTTATATGCTAGACATTTTTTATTTGACAAGATATTTTCACCAAAATTGGCAAATAATATTTTTTAAGGCAACGCTATAATATCTGAAGAAATTTTCAAGATCGAATTAGCTCAACGTTCAAAATCAAGATAAGTCATACTTCTTTTTTGCTATAAGAAGTGAGGAGTAGTATAGCTTCGGTGCAACCGTAAATGTTTTATACGCTTGCAACTTCTGGTTGATAATCCCGTTCACTCTCCATACAACGGTACTGTTGAAAACTACTTAAAGCGCGATAACTTAGTAACTAAATACACCAGAAACATAAAATTTTACTCGCGAGATGGTATGATAGCCCCTAGGTACCGAATATTTGGACACCAGTTTAATAGTTGATTTTTTACCGAAAATATTGTTCAGTGTGTCAGATTTATAATTGAAATTCAGAGAGAATACTTTCCTCATTCTAGTAACTCTGTGTATCAAAAATTAGTTAAATCGAGTTAATACTTTCCCTGAGCCCCATATATCTGATATAAAGATTTTCGAACTTCCCAATGACTTTATACCTGTCTCTTATACACATCTAGATGTGAAGATTTTCGAACTTCCCAATGACTTTATACCGCATATATCGGCCAATATGTGGGTTGTCTTAGTAAAATTCAGAGAGCGTATTTGTGCTTAGAATGAATAAAATCGGCTCAAAATTCGCCATAGACACACCTTATGTACTTAAAGGTACTTCCCTTGCTACCTAAAACTACTTCCCTTGCTTTAGTCCTTGCAGCTTAAGAGATTATAAAATATTTGGTTATAACCGCACTTAACGCTTCCTTATTTGTTTCGTATTTTCTCTGACAGCAACGAAAAAATGCGCAGAACGGAGATCAATTGTCAAACAGTTCATATAAATGTCTTGGCTCTGCATTGCACTAGATTAAGTAAACAAAGTGAACTCAAATAAAACATTCATTTAAGATAAGTACTTTCCGAAAATATTTATAAAATGTAAGCGATTTCCGTCCGTTGAAGTCATTGCTCCACTTTGCTTTTAAAATGCTGTGTATTCCATAGTAATGGTAGAAAGCGGAAGGTTCTTGTTGATGAAATAATAATAACTGACGTTTAATAATAAATATTTGTAAATGCATACCACAGATGTATGCAAAGCGGGATTATCTTATTTAAACGTCAAAAAGTTGCTGTAAGAATAAGGGAAAATTAAATTACATTGATTGAAAGCAAATTATACAGTTATTTCGTAAAAAAAAAAAAATGCTGCAACAGTCAACTTCTGCAAAAGAAGAAGTAAACAAAGAGCCAGCAAACATTTCTCATTCAAATATAGTAGCGAATAGCCAACAATTCATTTGAAAACGCTGCAAAAGTCCTTTTAGAGGGCATAACCTAATTATAATACTGATTTTTGTTTTTCAAAGTCATGTACGGGAATATTATATAAACTATTTACATTGCAGCAGTGCACTTGGAAATCTGGTGTAGAGGAATACATACATATGTATGTACATATATTCATAAACATTGTCTTGAAATATGATCTGAACGAACTTGTAGAAAACAGGCTAACCCGTATGTGCTCGTAAATATTTATTTAATTTATTCATTGTTTATCAAACAACAACAACTCTGGATGTGTTTTACAACGCCAGCGAATAGTACAAGCACTTCTGAAAACGTGCCATTTGATACGCTCGTGCTATCTTCATAGTGAACAAAAAACATACAAAATAAATGATATAAACAATAGTAAATTACAAGTCATACTCATAAAACCATGCATTAAAAACATACAAATGCAATTTTCATACACAAATACAGTTAATATTATGCGTTGTAAGTTTAATTGCATTATTTTTTTCGCCTTTTGCAGTCATTAAATGTGGACCAAAACGCCGTGCTATTAGAGAATGTACAAATATTACCCAACGAACAATGCGCACAGGTCACTACGGCAGCGCCAATTATAAGCAACGAAAGCATTTGTGCGCGTTATCCGTACACATATTCATATGCGGTCGGACCGGATTGTGAGGTACACATTTACATACATACATATGTATTTATTATTATTTAGAATAGAATCAAATGTGTTATACAGATTATATGTGCATCTTCACCTCTGAATGCAACCTAACCTCACTTGCATATGTAAATGTTTTATAATTAATTTCAGTTCCCAAACGATTTTCCTTCATTTAATACTGATTATGGCACAGGTCTGATAGTGCGCAGCACATTGGTAGCCCTATTTTCGCATACAATTGCAATATCAGCCAATAAACATACCAACAATTGTCGGGAGCAGCAACCGTTTATTGCGATTTTCGCCGATGTAGGACCACATGTAGATTGGATTTATGGCATTATCGCGAGTGAGGAAATGTTAGCTTTGCATCAAAATGACTTTATGTACTCAGCGCCTTATCAGCAAGATGTTAGTAGCGCTATTATGTACTCATCGTATGCATCAGGTAAATAAATTAGCTCTTGAATATGAATTTATTACAATTTTTAATTGTTTGTAACAAATAGAGTTAATGCCGTCATTAATTGAAACGCCAACTACAACAACAGCAGCAAGAACAACCACAACAATAACAACGGCAGCGGCGGTGATGACAACCACCAATGAAGTAACGACGCACCCCAGCAGCACGGAAGTGAGTTCAACGCAGCCGCCAAGTGTGAATACTGCAGACAAAGTTGTTGGTATAAAGTCCGCATTGTTGTTATATGCCATATCTTACATATTTTTGGCTTATTTTAAAAAGTAAGCACATAGTAAATGTATATTATATACAGTTGTATATTAAGTGCAAGCAACTTATCGAATGTGCCAACTTATATACGTGATATATATTCATTATATAATCATTTCTATACTTTATGCATAATTTAATTATAACTAAGCTTAAGAGAATGCAAAAAGACTGATACGGAATGATATGTATTTTTATATGTATGCAATAGGGTTTCCGATATTTGTTGATTGTTCTTTTGCAAACGCCTCCTGAAGTTTTAATTTTTGCCTTAAAAAAAAGATCCGACATAAATAAGCGTATCTTATTTTCAATTTAAAGAATGCTTTAAACATTACTACTTTTCCTATGTACTTTATATGCGTATTTTTGATTTTTTTGCAATAAAATTTAAATTGTAACTCAATTGTACGGTATTCACATAGTACACCATGCCGTATAAGCAACACTGAATGTAGAAATCACTGGTGGGAATGCTCAGCTCATTTGTTTGATTTATAACCTTAATAAAATCTGAAGCTTTAGAGTGCGTTTTTGATAAAGCAATCAACTTGCGCACCCTAATATGCATATACATACGTAAGAATTATATATATTATTATTATATTACTGAATTAATAAAACATTCACTTTACTCTCATTAAATTACTATATTTACTTGTATATTATGACAATGAAGTATGTAAACAGCTGATTTATAACCACCTTCATTTACAGTTAATTCTAATAACATTTTTATTAATTGTCAGCTTAAACTATCAAAACTCTGTACATTTTTATTACATAATTTATTGAAATAAAACTAAATATATAAAAGATTTTAAATAAAAAGTTTTAAATCAAGATAAATTAAAAAATTTAATGCTAAAATAATTTTAATTAAAACAAAATTTAATTATGAAAAAAAATTAATAAAAAGAATTTATTAAAGAAATATATGTATATTAAAAAAAATAAGTAAAAATTAATGAAAAAAATTCCCAAAAGGAAATTAAGAAAAAAATTATGTTTTTTAACGCAGCTGTTTGGAAAAAGCAATGTGTGCAACATGTCATATTACGTAGACACACAATCGCTTTTGCATAAGTTTACTAAATAATAACTTAAAAAATCAGAAGTTATGTGTATATTTACATGATTGTTTATATGTATTTTTACTTCAACGCGTTGATCACTTTATCAAAATGTTTTTGAGCAAATAATAAAAATATTAAAATTACTGTTTTGCTGAGTAAGGGTTTATTTAAAAAAAAAAAAAAAAAAACAGAAAAACGCGCCTTTAAAGAAATTCACTTTAAGATACACACGTTTCCGTCCATATTCATTGTATGCATGTATGTATGTATATATTAAGTTGCATTATTCTTGTTTATGTTAAAAACAGTTTAATATGTAAATAAAGTTATATTTTGAACTGAAGCACATAATGAAAATAATAATAAATGCATTAACGGTATTTATATGGGTAAAACTGGAACTCTGTAAAACTTTAGTTGGCATACATATGCATATATGCATATATGCAAATGAATGACGAATACTACTTAGTAATTTAAAATTAATTATATTACATTTCACTATTAGCAACATTCAAAACGTATTTTTTTTTTTTTACAAATGGTTCCTTTCTCTAGTTCCGCGCAGAAAATAACTTACTATTACTGTATAAAATAGTGTAAAATAATTTTTAGGCAGCTATGCAATCAATGTTATTTCAATGAGCTTTTAATTCTATTTAAATGCGCATAATTTGGCAGCACATCAGCTATCCAGTCGGGATTGATTTCGGAAACTTGACGCAAAAAATTGCGTTCGGTCAGCACAATCTCTGTATATATTATATATTCCGGTCTATATTTGCCATGGAAGACGCTGGATGGGTGTATTCTCGCACGCTGACGTCCAGCTATTGTAAGGTAGGTATTGTCGCGCTGCAGTTCAGCAATATTATCGAACAGACCAATTAGCAGGCACTTGCGCACTTGATCCTGATTATTACCACAACTGTTTAAAGGCAAATCGAGACGCTCAACAATCTCTTGTAGTTGTTTACGCACCTCACGCGCATAGGAAAGATTTCTTGTGTTAAGAAAATTGTCATGGCACCAGAGCTGTGTAAGAAATTTAAGAATAATAATAAATTTTCTGTTCTTTTTTTTACTTTTTTTTACACTAACCTTAACTTTCTCGGTCTTCAGAAACGCACTAAAGACATTAAGCAGCGTTAAATGATCACCATGTTTGGATGTAAATTTAGCATGCGCCAGAGCGGCAAGCTCGCGTTTTTCATTGCTAGAAACAAACACATTCTCCCCTGACAGCACAGCGACTAGGCTTAACATTTCTTCCATGCAACCGAAGGCTGATGCTGATAGCAATAGTTTGCTGTAACGTGGATCCAGTGGGAATTGTGACATTTGCTGACCCAAGGTTGTCAGTTCAGGTTTGATTTTATAATTTCTTACAGCACCGAGCGCTTCCAATTTACGGTAGGCATCCTCTACCGCTTCGGGCGTTGGTCGATCGAGGAAATCAAATGTACGACAATCGATGCCCAATGCTAACAACTGCAGTACAGTCGAGCAAATATTGCTGCGCAATATTTCAGGCTTTGGCATATTTTCGAAGGATTCCATTTCTGCTTGTGTATACGTACGATAACAAGTGCCTGGTGCATCACGGCCGGCGCGACCGCAGCGTTGCCATGCCTGCGCTTGTGAAACACGCACAATACGCAGAGCATCCAAACCGCTGCTGGGATTATAGACACGTCGCTTAACAAAGCCGCAATCGATGACACACCTTATGCCAGGAATTGTGACGGAAGTTTCAGCTATGTTGGTTGCTAGTACGATTTTACGTGAATTCGCGTGTGCGGGAAGGAAACATTCCAATTGTTTGTTCTGTGGCAATTGCGCATAGAGAGGAAACACACGTACTGGACATAATTCGGCATCATGTGTCTGCAAAAAAATAAATAATTTCAAATTACAAGTCGTTTTTATGTATGCGCACTTGACTTACCTTAGCAATTTGACGTATTTGATGCGCCATAGCTTCGATTTCCTCTTGCCCAGTAAGAAAAATTAGCACATCATGACTATAACATCATAACAATTATATTATTTATTTTAGGCAAAAAATTGATTATCATTACTTGACAGGTTCTGCACGATGGAACTGAAATAGCGTCACTAGCGCAGCGTGAAGGTAATCTGGTTGAGTTTCTTTAGCATGCATAACTTTTACCGGATAGGTTTTACCCTCAAGGTACATGCCGCGCACATTAAAATATTTTCCAAAATGATCGATATCCATGGTGGCTGATGTAATTATAATTTTAAGTGGCGTCAAACCACGTTGTCTACGCTGTTTTTGCGCTTCTTTGACAATACCGAAAAGCACATCAGTGTTTATTGTACGTTCGTGGGCTTCATCTAATATCAAAACAGTGTACTGTCGCAATAGACGATCAGCAATGGCTTCACGCAGTAGGCAACCATCTGTTAGGAATCTTATACGTGTCTGTGGAGAAGTGCAATCCTCGAAACGCACTGTGTAGCCCACAGTTTCGCCAAGACGACAACCTTGTTCTTGCGCAACACGACGCGCTACGGTTATTGCGGCCACACGACGTGGTTGTGTGATGCCAATCATACCTTTTTGCGCAAAGCCACTTTCGTACAGGAACTGCGGAATTTGTGTTGTTTTACCAGAACCAGTCTCACCCATCAACAACAAAGTTTCTGAACGTCGCGCCTCTAGTATAAGTCGCTGACGTACTTTATTTACAGGTAGCGCCTGTCGCTGTAGTTCCAATTGTTGTTTGGATGGTATACCTTTGCCATTAAGATGTAGTATGCCACCATTCGGTGTAGGCGTGTTGACATTTGATTTTCCATTTGAGGTAGTTGTTGCACTTCCGTTATTCAATTTAGGTGCTTTGATTATAACATTTTCAATGCCATTCACCGGACTTTGTAATTTTCGTTTAATTGGAAAACTAGATATGCTAACACTTGTTTTTGCACCGCCGCCATGCGGTGATTTGACCGGAGTTTTGCTTGTCAACAAATATTTGGACTCCATACCCGTCGACATGAAACTTGTCTGGAGCTTGTAAAATAAGAAATTCCTGCACTTTATATCGCACTTTGTGAAGTGCGCAGTAAATTTGTTTTTTGAAATTCACTAAATTCACGGAAAATTCATTATGCAAAGAATATTGGAGAATTTATCGCAACTTTTTTAATTAAAAATAAAAATAATATTGGAGTTTTCCCCCTTCACGCTGGGCGCACGTTGACAACGTTTGACAGTTTGCTAGCTGACATCCCAGTTTTCAACGCCATGTGAGTTCTCTGTTATTCAGCGCATAACACAAAGTTGCCATATTAATTGAAGGTTGCTTCATTAACTTAACATTTTTGTATATAGCAGTGCTAATGCCAATTATAAGCGGTAACTAGTTCGAAAGCAGAATGCTTGGTGTAGAACAATATTATAACTTAAAGGTTAATGAATGATAAATTTTCAATAATCACAATCTGTTGTTCTTTTGATTTAGTTCATATGTTTCAAATAATACTCCACGTAATTCCAATATCGATAATTTGTAATTTTCGTTAGTGGTTAGCTTAACCAAGACTGCCTCTTTCCCTAAAGAGCTGAAATTTTATGGTCTATTCCCAGGGTTTGTTTCTAAATTATTTGTCTTTACTTTAAAGTGTCCGTCCGGAAGAAATACCAGAAGTATACCATACAGCTAATCACCCGACTAAATGATTCGCTCAAGTCATCCTAGAATTATCGAGCTGACGAGTAAATGGATTTGATATTAAACTCAGAAGATAAATATTAGCAACTTTGGCCAATATTTCTGAGCTCCCTTGTATTAAATATTAATTTCCGTCAGATATATATATGTATATTATATTGCATATTTTATCATTAAAACTGGTCCTGTGATTATTCTTAAAAATTTGCCTTCGTTACAGTAAGGGATCTTTTTTTATCACACTTTATAATTTCAAGCTATTTTATAGAGAAGATTTCAGGATATGTTATGATGCCGTGTTTTCAAGGAAATTCGGCTGTTGTATTCGTAAGCTCCAAAACGATTGCCCAGATTATTGGTTAGGTTTGCGAAAAAAGGTAAAAAGAGGATACTAAAATTCTTTTCGGCACGACACCGCAGAGTGCAGTATTGTCCCCTTGTTATGAAGCCTAGTCGTGGATGAGCATTTTGAGTTGCCAACCAACAATGGAATTCGACGGTACGCAGATGACATTGTTATATTATCACGAGGTAAATTCGAGAACACTCTCGCGCAAAGGGGATTCGGGCTGGCAAAGATATAGTGCAGTACGGTTGGGTTCAGCATCATTTCAGTTCGAAAACGACCATCACCTGGACCTTAACCCTTGGTGGCAGAGAGTTATAGAGGACTAATGAGGTCGGAGGATGGAGTCATATGTAGAAGTTCACGCAAGTGAGGAAAGTTCTCTGATCGCCTATCACTTGGGAGTGGTCAGGGGCCCTATTCTGTATATCGATTCGTAAATGTATTCTATTCGAAATTCGGATCTACTTTATAATTATGCGAAAGTTGCACCACCCTGTGCCAGAATATATACGTACAATTTTCGTTTTTGCTTTCTACAACTCAAAAGCTGACGAATATTTGATTCGAAAATTAGCTTTAAAATCCGGAAATCGAGTTACAAAATAAAAAAAATTCGAATTCGACTAAATTTTTTTTC